GAAAGGGGGGGCTGGGATGTCCTTCCCCACGAGTGGCCCAAACATAGGCTCTGGAGTCAGAGACACCCTTGTTGGCCTCTTGGAGTCTGGGCACGTCACCTCTCCCTCTCCCTCTGCACGTCAGGCCTAGTCACAGCTCTGAGCTCACAGGGTCGCAGCCAACCTGCTACCAGCGCAGAGCTGGGCAAACAGTGGGCTCAGGAATGGGACCTCCAGTCACCGGGATGACCAGACAACCTTTAAAAATGCCATTATCAGCGATGGGGAGAGACGAGACACCATGTGGAACAAAACGTGGGTCCAACACTACACGATCCCTCCCCCCACCTTTTTTTTTTTTTTTTTAAAAGGAAACGACTTCGATTATATACACAGAAAAGACTAAGAAAAACAGCACTGGTAACACTGGTAACTTTGTCATTTTTTTTTTTTGCTCCTGTTTTTTTTCTGTTTTCTACAATGAATGTAATACTTGTGAAATAAGGTAAAAAATAAGATACGTTTCTTCAAAGACACATCTCCTGCCCTCAGAAAGCTTACAACCTGGCGGGGATCCCACGTTCTGTGTGCCTGTCCCTCTCCTGCAGGTTCCTTGAAGGGGTGAGGGGTTATCAGCCTCCCAGGCCACAGGGCTTGATATTCATGTGACAAGACTGGTGGAGAGCCCTGAAAAACCAAAGGCTTAAGCCAGGACCCTCAGCGCCTTGGTCCAGCCTCAAGACGTGGTGATGGCCACTGGAGGAGAGACTCCAGACGTCCAGTCTGCAGGCAAAAAGCACCGACACCATGTCCCTGGAGGGAGGGAAGCCCTGAGGTCCAGTGGGTCCCAGAGGCCCAAGGCTGGAGGAGCCTCTCATCTGAGAGGCACAAACAAGAGGCCCCCCAGATGCCCCACAGCTCCTGCCCAGCAAACCCCAATGGCCCTACAGGAAGACAGAAGCAGGACCCCCGGTTCTGCCCTGGCGGTGACTTCCTGTCTGCCCGGAAGGTGAGTAATGTCCACTCCCCACCCCCCGCATCCCTTCTGGAGGCCAGGCCTCACATTTTCCGCTCAGGAAGAGGCAGAGCAAGAGGCCTGGTGAAGCACATCAAGGGGAAATGGAAGGAGAGGGCCCTGGCCTGGCCATGCATCTGACATCCAGCAGCCTGTGGGCTCACCTGCCCGGCCTGCGCCCTCTTTCACTTACTCATTTAACAGACACTCCCCCTCACTTGCTCTGTGCCAGGTGCTATGCTGGGCACCAGGGAACTGGCTCTCAGGGTGCTTAGTCGGTCACTGGGGAAGAGATGGTCATCAAACAGATACTCCCACTGACGGGGCATAACTACAGATGGATGCGCTGTTTGGTCCTAAGTCAATGCCAGACCACCGTGTCTCTGGACGGAGTCTCAACAGTTGGCTTCTTCCAACTGTCCTCCTCTCCACCCCCTAAATGCAGCTCCTGGGTGTTTTTCCAGGCACCTATGATGAGACCAGGGCTCCGTGTGGACTCAAAAGAAAGCCCAAAGCCTCAGCTGGGGCTTAGTGGAGGGTCTGGAGGGGAGCTGGCTGTACGTGGACTGCAGGCAGTGGTAGGGACAGCCTGGATCACTCAGCCCTGGATCACGACTCAGAGAAGGTAGTGCTCTGAGTTTGGGGGGACAGCCTCCTCTGGTTCCCAGGCTCCCGTGCCCATCTTCCGGGGAACCTCACACACGACCTCGACGCCTGCCAAAGAGGACAGAGGAGGGCAGCAGCCTTGGCAACCCCTCCCGACTCTGGCCAGATCATCCAAGTTCTCTCACTGATCAACAGTTTCCTCCCCTGAGACGGGACAAGAGCCCTGTGCTCACCCACAGCAGCTCCAGCCGCCAGTCAGGAAGCACCACGGGGTTCCCCGGCCAAAGCAGCCAATGCTGTGATTTCAAGAAGCCAGGAACGGGGTCCGTGAAAGAGACCTGTGAAGTGAGGCCTCGCAGGCAGTGGCAGGCTCGGGGACAAAAGCACAGCCGCGTTTGTGTTCGTGGTGAGCACACTCCCACAGCTGCTGAACCTCAGACAAGCTCCCAGGAGTGAGAACTGGCCTGATTCATTCCTGGTCTCAGCCATGGGACCTGCCCTGCCAAGGCCCAGCCCTTATCTGCCTTTGCTAAAATTTGAAAAAGGGGGAGGGAGGAGGAGGTGTTGGAGGAAGAGGAGGGCCCCCAATTCACATCCACCAACAGGTGTGAATCTGTGCAAACTGCCTGGTTTCTTGAAATGCTCTGGCTGTATCCCTGAGCAGCAGGGGTGGGATGCCGCTCCCTGGCACGGCCTTGGGAGTCCCCACACTTTCTGGCTAAAGGAAAAGACCCAGGTGCTCAGACTGGGGGGTATCCTCAGGAACAAAGAACCTGACTTGGCGGGGGCAGACCTCTATCCCCTCTGGAGGGTGTGCTTGGGGGTAGGCCTCAATAAATGTGTGTTCCTTTATTCATTCGGGCAACAAACATTCAGCAGGCCCCTATGACGTGCCAGGCGTGCAGAGTCACCGGGGACAGAGCAGAGGGTGAGATCCACGTGGTCTGCCCTTTGCGGAGCTCACAGTGGGGGCCTCAGACTGAGGACCCCCAACGCAGGACCGAGGGCCAGAGACCGAGCGCCAAGCCGTCCTGGGGGTCGCTGGCGTTGGGGAAGCTTCTGGCTGAAGGCACAGGAGCAGGGAGTGGAGACCAGGGAGGGCTGTGCCTGGACGCACACAGAGCCCCTGCTTGGCCTGTCGCTGCCCAGTCCTTCTTTAACAACAGGGGACATGAGAACACCCTGAAGCCCCCAACGGTCTCCCACCGATTCACTGATGGGAGCGGGATCTCAGCTCACGTCTACACTGCAGGCACCTTCAGAGGGAGGGCTGGAGGGCTGGCCAAGGACTCCAGGCCGGGTCTGTGCCCAGCTTTGGGAGCCCACTGGTCTAGACAGACACGGGAGTCACCACCAGATCTAGGACCAGAAGGGCAGCAGAGACCAAGCCAGCCGGTCTCTCAAAGCCTGCGACCCCCTGCACTGGGTCTGGGTCGGCCTCCGGCCAGCACGTCAACCCACAGCCTCCAGACACAGCCTCTGATGAAACAATTAAATTGATGGTATCGTGGTCAACACCATCCTCCCTGTCTCCAGCTCTGGCTCCCTGCCCTCATAAACACCCTCGTCCTGTCAGCGGGCCAGCCTGCCCCGGCCCCAGCACCCAGTCAGGAGGGACCTGGGCGGCCGGAGGGGTGGGGGACACGTGTGACGACACACACCCAGGTTGGCGCCGCCACCTGGCTCCTGCAGGACGGGCTGCGGGACACACTGACCCCATTAGCCTCCGTGGCTGAGGAAGCCCTGTAAACCCCACAGAAACACTCCCTTCTGCTACCTGATCCTGGAGGCCCCCCCAAATCACCACATCTCCCTGGAAAGTATCTCTGACAGAGCTGAGACACCCCCCCACCCCGCCCCGCCCCCCGCCAAAGGGTGGTTGTAAGCAACAATAACACGAGTTTTTTGAGAATGAGTTGGGGGACTATGGCCCCCATTCAGTCCTACTACTCTGGGATTTTTAAAAAGAAATGCTCTGGATCCTTCCTGGGAAGGTGTAACCGACAGCCTTGGGCTGAGCTTTGCTGGTGTGGCCCTCAGTGTGGCCTTTGGCTGCGGCCCTCAATCAGCTCAGATGAGGCGGGAGGTCAGCTGCTGGGCACGTCCGGGCCCCAGAGCCCCCCGACAGCATGCGCTGCCCCTGACCCGCTCCCCACCCGCGGGAACGCTGGAGCTGGAAGGCGGAATCGGTCTGGGAGGCTCGCAGCACAAGGGGGTCCTGCTGACCTCATGCAGCGTCAAGGGACAAAAGCCTTTTCTTTCCCAGCAGCCTCGAACCCCACTCCTCACAGAACCACACCCTGGGCTCCCCAGCCCCAGGCGCAGCCACCCCCAGCGGCCTCCGGGCTGGGTCTCCTCCCAGACAAAGCCGGATTCAGACCTGGGAGGACTGTGGGGAGGCAGGCACGCGGGTTCCGCCATGGAGACGAACTTTGACCCAAACTGCAAGGCTCCTACCCCTTATTTACTCTTTAAGGCTAACCCGTTTCACAGAGTTCACATGACACCCCTTTTTAACCCTGCACCTCCCGCCCACATTCCAGGTCCCGACCTTCGACCCCTCCTAATTGCAGCTCTACACCCCAGTTCTCTCCAGCTCATCCCCCACCCCCAAGCACCTCCTCTGGAAGAGCAGAGCCCGGCCCGCCCGGGACGCTGTGACTACAGGTGCCACCCCACGCCCACAAATGCATCTAACTGAGGCAGGCACCGGAGTCCCAGAGCCCAGCCCAGCCCTGGGGCTCAGCGTGGGAGCACCAGAGTGGACCTCTGGGGTCTGACTCTGACCCCAGCGCTCCTACCCCAAGAAAGGAGCCTGTGTTCCAAGAGAGGCAAGAGAAGGCTGGCTGGCAGGCCCTGGCGGGTGACAGCTCCTCACCAGACCACCTCTCATCCCAAGGGCCTGGGCACACACGTGGACAAGCGCACTGCCTGCTCGCTGACCAGGGGAAGGGACGGGACCCTGGTCCTGTAGCCTCACATCCAGGCCACAGAAGCCCAGCTCTTGTTTTCGTTACTGGGCAGCTGGACTGTTCCGGGTCAGGCACACTGTTAACCTTCCCAGACCTGAACCGTGATAACTTCAAAATCCATATCCCACCGGCCTGTGCGCATCAGAGCAAACAGGGAGGACACCATCAGGCTGCCTATCCGCGAAGAGCTCTGAGCCCTTCACCTTTGGGAGGGACAACTGTTCTCCCCGGAACCAGGGGCTGGGGCAGTGGGGCCTGTGGAGGCGCTGAGAACACTGGGGGCAGCTGTCAGCCTGGGCCCAGCCGCCCCCAGAGGCTCCAGCCCAGATTCTACCCCTGCGCCCCCTACCCCCCCCCCCCCAGGGATTCCTAGGACCCTGCAGGCGGGGACACAGCCCCTCCCCCACCAGCCACAAAGGGACACTCACCGTCCTCTTGGCTGTGGAGGTTCTGCGGGCTCCGCATCCTCTCCTCCTGGCTGGGACTCAGGCTGGAGGCCAGGTGTGGGTCAGCTGACATCCATGTGGAGTCGTTCATATCAAAATCTTCACTGCTCACAGAAGTTTCATCCTGATCAGGGACAAAGAAGTTGGGCGTTCAACAGGGACGGGCTCTCTGCAGCCCCTCGGCAGCATTCTGGGTGAACCCCAAGGCCCGTGGGCGTTTGGAGGTGCCCCCAAAGGCCGTAGGGCGCCCCCAAACCTTGCAGTGGGGGCTGGGTTGCTCCCCCTACCCTCCCATGGAAGTGGCTCGGGCTCTGGTTCCTGTCGGAAGCCGGGGCTGAGGGCCGGCGCTGTCTGTAATTGAAGACAATTACGAGGTTTCGCATCCTGTAGGGGCGGATCGCAGGGCCTGGCTCTTACCCCTGTGAGCCAAGGCTGAAGCAACCGCTGTAAACAAGGGCCAGTGCTCCCCACTCCCTGCCCACAGCCCGGCGACGAGGGCTCACTCCACGCAGGGCCAGGCGAGCAGAAGTGGGCAGCAGGACACGCCGGGCACCACCGAGGCCAGGCTGATCGCGCCCACCACGCCTGCTTCCCGACTCCCGTGGAGCATGCATGGAATTCCTTTCTCCCACTCCCCCAGCCCAGAGGACATTTCTGTCTTCCTCCTTCCTAACCTTTGCAGTGCTTCAAAGATATGCTCTTGGGCGGCTTCCAGAGCTGAAAAGGCCAGCCCCAGAAGTATAGAGAAGGAAGGGGGTGGGGCAGGCGAGGGTTCGGATCAGACCGCAAAGGGGGTTCGGCTCAAGGGCCTGGGGGGCCGCCAGGGCCTTCCAAACAGCCGGAGGGCCTGCTGGAGAGGACCACGCCTGCCTCCTCTCCCCTCGCTGGCTTCAGTGAGACCTTGGCCAGTCATCCGGGAACCCCCGGGGCGGGGCCCCTTCAACCCAGCCCTCCAGTGGGAAGGGACCCCACCTCCTCCTGGCCCAGCCTCTTTCAGGGGCAGCAAGCAACTGTGTTTGGGAGCTGGCTGTAAAACGCAAGAAAGATGACCCAGCGGCTCCCACACCCTGGAGCTCTGGCTTTGCCCCTTCCCCTCCCCCAGCAAGATACAATGGCCTCTGTGGGCCCCCAGGAAGGACCTCTGGCAGAGCACTACCCCCCAAAGGCCTCCCTCCAGGGGCCCCTCACAGAGGTCTCTTTTACAGCGAGCAAACACACTTCGGTTTGAACTTTCTTCTGCTGCTGTCCGAGGCAGACACATCTGCTCTCCAAGTGCTAGGGAACCAGCGTGGATTATCCTCACTCCCTCCCCCACCAGCCCGGCTGGCAGGGAGTTTCCTGGAATTTATAGCTTCTGTGCAGCACGAGTGTGCACCTCTGCGGCTGAATCAGGAGGACTCGAGCCTGGCCAGAACGCCAGCTCCGCGCAGCTCAGGGGTCCCCACGCAGCACGCCCAGAGCCTCAGGGGACGGGGACCACATGTGCTCTCATGCCCTCTCCCCACACACGCACGCACTCTGCTTCCCTCCCACAGGCCGCCCTGCTCCTCATGCACAAGGACGCTCACTCACACACTCACTCAGACTGTGTTCTCACACCTGGAGGGAGGAGGGAGAGACACACGTTCAAAAGGTTCTCTCTGCACAAAGGGCAACACGACTCTCCCTACGCTAACAGGACAGGACCCAGAGTGAGGGGTGGCGGGCAGGTGGGGAGAAGGACCCTTGGAGGGGTAGGGCCATACAGGTTCTGGGAGCCAGGAACTGGGCCATCCTCGCTTGGGGCCCTGGCTTCTTCCTGGCTGCCCAGGGGTCACTGTGCTCAGGGTATGACCTGAAGTCCCTGCTGAAGCAGGAAGGCCCTCTCCTGGCTCTTGGGTATTGTCGAAACACTCATGGTTTAAAGGACCAAGTATTCTGTTCACATCTGGGAGTAACATCTATTCAAAATGCTCCGTCCGTTTACTCAACAAGTATTTACTGAACACCTACTATGTGCCCAACACCTTTCTAGGTGCTGGAAAATTCAGCTGTGGACAACTCCTGGCCTTCTCAGTGCTCACTGCCCAGTGGGGGCGATGGACAATCAGCAGAAAAACTCATAATATCGGGGGCGACGAGGGCTACAAAATAAAGCAGAATAAAGTAGAAGAAGAGGGAGAGGGACCTGCAAGACTGTGTTTGCCAGGGTGGCCAAGAGGAGCCTCACTGGTCAGGGGACAATCAGAGCAGAGGCCTGCAGAAGTGAGGGAGGTTGCTGGAGAGGGGGCGGTCCATGTGGGGAGTACACCACGCACCGGCACGTGCTGGTGGGTTCCAGCAAGCAGCCCGGAGGCCACAGTGGCTGGGGGATGGGTGAGCGGTGGGCAGTGGAGCCATACGGGGGAGCCATAAGGGGCACATCATCTTGGGCAACCATCTTCAGCTCAGAGAAAGGAGTGTTCCACTAAACACACAGGTTCTCACTGAGGAGTAAGAAAAAGTCAGAACTGCTGGCTGCAGCACTGAAGGCTCCCACATTCTAGCCCCACCTGGCAAGCGTTTAAAACAGTAACAACAGGGCTCCCCTGGTGGCGCAGTGTTTGAGAGTCCGCCTGCCGATGCAGGGGACACGGGTTCGTGCCCCGGTCCGGGAAGATCCCACATGCCGCGGAGCGGCTGGGCCCGTGAGCCATGGCCGCTGGGCCGGAGCGTCCGGAGCCTGTGCTCCGCAAGGGGAGAGGCCACAGCGGTGAGAGGCCTGTGTACCGCAAAAAAAAAAAAAACAAAACAAAAAACAGAAACAACAGAAGCCAATGTTTATCAGGTGCCAAGTGCACCACAGGCCCACTGGGTAGGTGTAGTTATCAGCCCCATTCTACAGATGAGGAAGCTGAGGCTCCAAGGGGTGAAGGCACCTGCCCAAGGTCACGAGCTAACAAGTGGCAGAGCCACAGGTGGGCAGTCCTGAAGGCCCAGATGCACCCTCCTTCCTGCCCCTCACCTGGAACGCCTGCACTGCCTCGGTGCCCCACAACCCAAACTCCAAACGCACGTCCGTCCCCCTGGCTCCATCAACTCCAGCTCAGTCTCCATCGTTCCTTTCCTTACACCCTCTGCCTGCCTGTACCATCAGCCCTGGCACTTAGGCAGGCACAGAACTCAGCTGCAGCAGGCAGAAGAGTGGCTCCCTGCCCTCTCTTTCCCCAAGAAAACCTTAAGTCCTCCCAAGAGCGGGGACCAGGCTCTATGCTTTCTGGACAAGGCCAGCGAGACCAGTCAAATTGGCTGAATCGCCTGGCGTGATACCGGTGTTTAATGAGGACGCGGCAACAGTTTGACAATCAGGGACTTGGACCCACTGAACACAGTTCCTGAATGGAGACCATATGAAACCTGGACCCTGGCTGCTGCCGTGCAGCATCCCCCTCCTGCAGCTGCCAGGCGCCCCCATGCAGAGCCTCAGGTTTCTCTGGCTCAGATCACTTAACTATCCACCAAAATGACCCCCCTCCGCTTCTCCCTGCCCTGACAGGTCAAACGGGGCAGAGGTGGGCTAAATTTTACATTGAGTTGCAATCACCCGATAACGAAGAGCAACCCAGTGCCCACAAATGAAGGGCTCTGCGGCAGGGGTGTTATGAGATTTCCTCGCAACAGCCCCGTAGAGAAAGCAGGCACCCGTGTCAGGCCTATCTCCAGATCTGGTGCCCGCCCCTTGGAGACCTGCCTCAGCTGCCCAAGGGCACCGTAGCTAGTGGCAGAGCTGGGATCTGAACCCAGGCTGTCTGTGCCCAGAGCCCACATGACAGTCCACCACACCGAGGGGCCCCCTCACCACACTTCCTCTCTTCAATCGGAAGAATCAGATTCCTTAACAACAAAGTGTCTCAGGACGAGACCCAAAGGAAACTCCATGGGAGACGAAGCTATATTTACACCCATACCCACACCCAGCTCACTCTCATCAATGAGTCGACGCGCACTTACGGGGCATCTACTATGTGCCGGTGTTATGTTAGGGGCACCAAGACTGTGGCAGGGCTCCTTTCCTCCAGGGCCCTGTTATTAAGGGAAGGACAGAGAAAAATTCTGACCCACTTGTAAGCGCAGAGAGAGAAGGGGGCTGGGGAACCCCCTCTCCAGTTATCTACCGACCATCAAGCTCTCCCCAGCGAGTGTTCCTACAAGCCCCAGGGCTCTGCCACATGAATCCCTGTTTTGCGGGTGATGGTTCTAGCTAAGCTTCTGACACCACTGATACAGCAATTTTTTAAGTGAGAAATCAAACTTATTAAACCTAACTTTAAAAACCTGCCAAACTCTTAAGTTCCAATCAAAATTAGCTCCCACACCCTCACTTCCAGGGCTGACCTGGGACAGAGGGCTTCCCAAGCCCCCTCTGCCACCCACCTGCTACAGCAGAGCTCCCAGCTGCAGAGGGCAGACTGTAACCTCACCGGCTCACACTGGGCCCAGGCTCCAGGAGCAGCCCAATTACACAGGCAATTACCAGTACACAGTTCAGAGCCCATCGACGATGAGCAGAGGGGGGCACAGCCGGGCCTGAGGGACCTGCGGGAGATGCCAGCGCAGGCTATGAAGGGCCAGGCCCAGAGGTCACAAGTCGGGCACTTCTTGTTTTTCCCTCTGGAATCTCAAGGGAACTCAGCCTACTAATTTCTCTTTCTTTAAACAAACTTCAATGAAACTTACATTAGAAAATAAGAGTGTGTACAATCCATTACTTCCAGGTCCCCTCTCCCTAGACCTCACGTGACTGGCCAGCCAGTACCCCCGGCTCCTCTCACCTTACCTTCGGACACCCTGAAGCCTGCAGCCTTGCCCACCTGTTGACAAAAGTCCATCATTTATTAGGCACCAAAGGACCTGAGCCACTTGCGGGTCACAGGGCGATCAGGTCAAATGTTCTTCTGAAAAGGGAACACAAGAGTTGGGGCAGGGAGAGGGGGCAGGCAGACAGCACCCAGACAGCCCCTGGGACACACCCCAATCTGGCAGCCCTGACTCTGGGCAGAAGGAGAGGAGCCGACCAAACCCTCCCTGCTCTTATCTGTGGTCCAAAATTCACGGGCAGGTTCAGTTTCTCTCCACCCAGGTTCGGAGGCCCTTCCTCCTCTGCAA